GTTATCGTATACTGCAGTTAAATCCTGACACAGCACATAACGTACTTAATACGAGTATGCCTCTATCATGTATTACGTTAATTCGCAAAAAAAACTAAAAAATAAAGAAAACTGATTTGAAAATAACAAAATAATATGAAAAAGCTTTTGAAGAAACCTGTACGCTTTTCAATAATATGTATAACCTATATGAATCAATGGTTTTGTCTACATTCGTTTCAAGTAATTAAACGCTGTMTTAAATATCTCATTATATCAGACAATAGCTTATGTAACACTTAACGTCTAGAAAAAAATATTCAAAAATACAAATGAATTAACTTACGTGTGCTTTCATCGTTAGAGGAAGTATACAGATCGGAAAGTTATAAAAATAATATTGTATGCGCTGGTAAGATGTCTGAATGCCAACAGTTCATGCCCCGTCTAATTCTTTTTCACTGTCTGCATGGTAATATGACGTTAGCAACAACGTACTGGGTGATTTGAGAAAATGCGACTAGCCAATCAGCGCAAAGCTGACAAGCTTATGTTGTAAACATAAYCCCMCGACGGGAGGAATTTGCACAGCAAAACTCGACCCAGTGGAGTAGGCTGCCTGCCATTTTATTCTATCCGAAAAATCAAAGCTAAAACGCAAARAGAAATTGCAAACCTTTATAAAATAGCTTTTATTAAATGTCAATCAAATATTTATCGTTATAGAAATAGAATTTTATCTTAAAAATGAAATAACAAATAATTTTTTCTTTAATACTAAGAGACTCCCCTCCCTGRCAAAAATAATTGGTCTGTGTTCTACGCGGGTTCTCCATTGCATACGAAGCAATGGCCGACTTCACGAAGACTTCGGAAGGTCGTTGAAGCGACGTTCAAGTCCAAAGTATCTTAGGAGGAACCACTGCAATCCTTTTTCTTAGCTCTTGTTTCCTCTAAGCTTTGAGGTATCCGACAACATCACTGAAAGAGCTAGAGCAGCTTAGCTCCACGTATTCCAATAGAGTTAAAGTGTTTGTTATTTTTGGTAGTGACAACTGTCGTAGTTCATCCTTTGTCGCATTTTTGGCAATAAGCCGCAAGC